TCCGGCACTACCTTTCTTGTAATCCAAACATTCGATTCTGGCTTGGAGACTGTCAGCATTCGATATTAATGTTATAAATGAGGTCGTACATCACAAAGTATCAAAAGAAAAAATGGACTATAGTTAGAAATATCCAACCGTTTTGAGATATCCTGTTAAGTGGTTTCTCCAACATGGACATCAAATGCTGTCATGGAGGTTTTAGTAATCTTTAAAGGCGGTAGAACACAGCAATCAATGCAATGTACGATTCGGCTCGGTTAGCTGCTGCCGTCTCGGGTGCAGTGAATTCGATAAACCAAACATTGGCCAACAACGATTAGACGGACTCTGTCCATTCTACGCCAAGGGAAGCGATGATAGTCATCACACCCAATCTGAAAGATTCCGCGTCGAATGTGGTCACCTAGGTAAATAGTTATTTGGTCGAGTTGAAACCTGTGACTCAATTTAACGAAGATTTAACTAATGCCACGACCTTTTCAACTACACCAGCTGAAGAGACGGCAATGGGTTTATTACTTTTTTTTGCTGAACAGTGAGGAAAAGACTATTTTTAGAAGTTAGAACCTGATGAGAGAAAGCAAATAGTGCAGTGAGAAGCGACAGACAGCGGCTGACGACCAACGCGCACATGAAGACTGTAGGTAACGCGGTACTCAAGGGGATTTAAGGTGTGTGTTCAGTGCGCAGTGTGGCGTCAGCTTATGTCATAAACTTTGGCATGGCATTGCGAAGAAAAGCGTACTCAAGAGGGTCCAATAAATCCGTTCTGGCTCGCGCTTGCTAATAATGCGCACTGCCTGATTGCCATAGGTCATGGATTGAGATATTAACATTCTCAGGCAGTTCACTTCTACTGTCATGAGTTCAGATGTATGTTAAAGCGCTGATTTTCACTGTGTGGAAATTCAGCACTTTGTTAATGTCTATTCCATTACAATTTTACCTAATTTTCACAGTTACCTATTCGAATCTTTAAATGCAATCAAGGAGTTTTCGCTTATATATATTTCCTGCTTACAGAAAACAAAGCATGATGGATTTAGCCACAAACAGCGACAGCTAAACACGTTTAAACTAGTGTAGTCAAGTTGTACAAAATGATTAATGTCAATAAGCATTGTGTGCACACATTAAGTTTGTTTCAAGTTAAGATCTCGCTGATGTAGGCGCGCGTGCAAAATCGCTTGCCGAGTGATCGAATTCCAGGTAGTGTCACAATGCAAATTACGACGGTAAAATGATGAAGGTGGACAGGACTAACATGTGAAATGTCACACAGATCACTATGCATTCCTCACTCGTGCACCAGTAAAAGATTTAAAACTCTTCTCGTGATCATATTTAATAATTTTTTCCTAAACCAGTAAAAAGGCGTTGAATAAGACAACAAATGGACAACAAGGAATAGTGATGGTGTCACCCAAACGCAACCCAGTGCTGCAGACGGACAATTTGAAAACACGAAGCGCAGTTACGACATCGCGACCGAAACGAAAGCAGCCAGGTAGTGCTACTGCTGTTTGTGTTGACAATAATGGTGATTATTAATTGTGGTGCCAGTGGTTACACCTCGTGTGCTAATGCTTGTGGTGGCGTGTGCTACGACGACGCATTTGTTGGTAACTTGTGTTGTGTTACTGGCATCAGCTGTCTTTTGCGCTTCTAGTAAATATCATCAAAGATCACAGTGCAAATGTTTTGTTCTGTAGGTCGCTCGGCAGTCACACCTGCCAAGACAACATCAAAACCGAAACGCAGATCTCAACGGAAGTCCGTGGCGCCAAATCTCATACACACGCCTTTGTTTTATACACCCTATATGACTATGGATGAATATAGCGCTTATATTGGGGATCTATTCCAATTATAACTTTTTTAATCTTTAAATTCGTAGTTTCTTTTTTTTTGTGCCAAACATTTTCGTTTTGTTCCTACCACTGCTTCTATTTCATACTTTGATTTAGCTGCGTCCGTTGTTTGTCAACGTCATCTGATTTACCACTACTTGCATCCGTCTTCAAATTCAAAGTTTAAATGCCCTCTGCGCTACGTCATGTGGTAATTTTGAGTTGCGATAACGCTTTCATGTTTTCGACAAGTGTTACAATGATGTAAACACTAAATATTGCATCTCCATTCCGGTTAAAATGGCACGTTGTCAACTCAGGTAGGATGGATGACCAAAAGAAGGACCTTCGTCATGTGTGTCTGGTGTCGATGCTGACAATTCGCCAGAGTTGTCAAATCACGAAAAAGATCATCTCTGTCAGTAAACCGCCAATTTAAATTTTTGCAAACTGCCTGATTTTGCATTGTGTTATGATTAGGGAAACGGGGTACCGTCTTACTTTAGGTATCTAGTAGTACAAAGACCTCATTTCGATCGATGTTGTGTCATAAAATGACGCCGTAATCGGACACCTGGTTCGTTAATTTGGTATGGAAGTAAAGCGACTAAAGCTGCGTTTGATACTCAAGGCATTCAACTTGCGACGTGCATCTTCTTCAGTGAACTATGGCGCCGTTGTCGAAGATTGCGCATTTTTCAAGAATTCGGCTGATAATCCCAGGTCGATGCTTGTGAAATCTTTCACGTTGAATGATGTTAAAATAGAAAGTAGGAAAATTGAATGGAAAGCCGAATGACTCTAAAAATCCGACCATCCACAATTCTCCAACCACACTCCCGTGTCTACACGTTTAGTCAGTTGGTTACGCCAAGAACTTTAGCGCACGTTGAAAGAGCTTCAAGCAATGCCACGACGTCTTCTAATGCGTCAACTCAAGAGACAGCTGAAGACCCATTGAAGTCTCTGCTGTGCAAATCGCCGCCTCAGAGTGACGGTGCGAAGAAGAATATTCCTAGAGACCAGAGTCTACAGAGGTAGGGCTAATCCTTCTGGTGACAAATGATGGTATTATTATCGGGTAATAGCACGATGCGGTCAATGCAAGTATTCATATGCTTATACTTTGGCTGCAACTGAATTTGGAATACTGGCTTATGCGGTCATTAAAGATACCGTTTTAACCAGATTGAGAGGTAGTCGAGGCTTTACCACCTGCTTGCGGTTGAAGATTAATTGCGAAAATCGATCATACGATTGGCCGGGAGTCTGGATATTTGGCGTAATAAGGAAACATGTGGTAGTACGGGGAGTAGGACGGTGACGGAATTCGGCCGTCGTTCCATGGTGATTGTAGCAAGAGGGTAGTTAAGTGAAAGGTACACGTGAGTTGAGCTAGTTAGTACCTGAGTAAAGAAGCTGGGTTAATGCAGGTGGGTTGAGGAAGTGACAACCATGTTGAACGAAGAGATGGAATCGAGGCCTAGAGTAAGGCGTGTCTAATTAGTAACGGTACCACATCAAGTTTTGAAAGAGGGCAAGAAGGCTTAAAGGTTGACTGATCTTTCAGGTCGTTAGACGCAGAATTACCACGCCACACAAGTCGCATCAGATGATCGACTATGGCCAGTACGTAAAATGTCAATTGGCGACCAAGGTAGGGGTCACCAATTAATGAAGCCCCAGTGTGTTCCTCAAACTGCTCCTGAGTTTACAACCTACGTACACATGGATCGACCAGCAGAAAGAAGACTCTATGTAACGCGTTCACAAGCCAAATTATTGACTAATTATAGTGGTAGCTTATTTGGAAGGGTGAGTTCGTAGTGAAGTAAGACATCAACCTCAATGGGTTACCTTGTTACCGCTCTCTGAACAAACATCACGACGGGACGTGCACTCATGCTAACCACAGCAGTCCGTTCTGTCTAACGCGTTTGCTCAAAGCATTCTCGGTATCAGCGATTTATGTGTAGGCCGTTCGCTAGTAATCCATCAAAGGCTGGTGCTGCCACGTTTAACAACCTACATCCACCCTGCAATTTTAAAAAAAAAATTCGCCAATTTTTACATCTGGGATTGCAGTGTGTTCAATAGCATTCAGATACGTTTCTTCACGAAAGTGCTACAAGTGGGTGGGACGAGGTTTACTGCCGTTTGACCCGTTCTTTTAAAAAATATAACTATAATGCGAACAATCTGCATGAGTGTAGCATACTATTAATGTGCTAATATTAAGTCTTTGATAATACTGCATTCTGTTTACAGATGCTTCGTTGACTCGCCAACCGCAATCAGTGACTCTGAATGTCAGTTCATAATATTGGCATATGTAAACCAATAGGCAAGTACTCTAAAGACAGCGAAACATGGAGTTCACCCAATGTTATCTTATCTCTAATTTCGACCATACATAAACCAATGAGCGACTAACCAACATTGGCACATTCGAGGTGACTTCGTATTACGAGGCCAAGAAGCATCCCGGGTAAATTGCACGCGCCAAGTTCAATTTTTGTGCGAAGGCGTGTGACGTGTAGCAATGAAAGCCAAGGTTCCACAAGAGTGGGATTTGGTGACGCGCCATTTTAAGCCACAAACAAAATGCTAATTAAGACCTTCAGTGAATTCACCTAATCAATTAGATGGACTCTAAGGCGCATTTACCCCCCCCCGTCGGTATTTCTGCAAATACTATTTAAACAAAAAAACAGTACCTTCAGGTCAACTTGATTTGGCCCTATATCTTGGGCAGAACATGTGAACCCCTTTTCGGCTGCTTTGCAATGACACATTGCATGTTAAAAGAATTCCAATTCGATTCATTCACGTTCTTTAGGGCAGAAACATTCCCTACTCCGCCCACTGCAACTGTCTGCACATGCCAGTTAGTCAGCTGCCTTGTGAAGGCTTCATTTTCCAGCCATGAAATTGCCCATATATTTCTCGTTTTCGTGGGACCACCAGAGGAAAAGCCAAGTAATGCAAAATTTATAAAAAAATACAGTTTTTGAATACAGGCAAAAGCACACCTAGTTCTCCAAGTTGACAGGTAGCTCAATTAATGCCAAAGCAGTTCTTACGATGGCTGCATCACACTTTTATTCAAGGATTATGGCGTCTAATAGGACGTGTCGGTGGAAGGAGTCAATTTGTATACGTCGATTTGCTTTTGCCTCTCAGTGGAATGTGCTCCTCGTCAGTGTCACCCTGAGGCGGCGATTTGGACCTCGGAGGTTTCGGCTCCTCCTCAGTTGACTCTTGAGATGACTTCGCTGGTGGGGTCGTTGCAGAGCTTGAATCTGTTTCAACTTGCAGCGGAGGTTCCGACGTGATCGAACAACTGTTCTTATAGACGGGCAGCATTTTAGACAGAGAATCATCTAGGATGCCTGAGAGAAATTTTATCGTTGACAGCTGCTGGACCCCATCGCCTAGTCCAGAAGAGACGGTGTCAGTCGATTCATTGCTGGCAAATGCTTGAGCTATTGAATTCATTGTACCCGCTAAGACAGTAGCCATCTGAGCAATCATGGTGGCGGTTTTGGCGTGTTTGAGTGCATTCACCAACAACGCTTTTGACTCAGAAGCTGTCGGGTGTAGCGAAGATGCAGATAAGCATTGTGACGCTTGTTGGCTTCTCTGAGGCGTACTAGCAGGCAAACTTGGAAGGAGTGCGTACGTCAGCGTAGTAAGTGAATGAATCGGCTGCGTTTCGGTACTGCTGGAAGCTGAATGTTCCGCCACTGTGGGGATGTGCTGATTGACTGCTGTGGTGGGCGTCAGCTGGACAGCATGCGGTGAGTCGGTAGGTTTTTGAGACTTCCTTTTAGCAGATGAACGTGGCATAACAAATTCATGAGTTCGGTCGGAAACGTCTAAATTGACCTTTGGTAAAATTAGCCTATTGGCTGTTGGTTTTTTTGAAGACGAGGACGAAGAAGATTTCTTTGGAGGCATTCTTGAATTTATCCAGCGCGATCAGATCTCTCGCAAAAAGTGTCGATGTTGTACGAAGCTGCCGTACAATAAGATCTCAGCGTCAAAGAATTAAAAAGGGAAAAGGCGAACAAAGAATCGAAAGAGAAGGCAAAAATGAGTATAATTACAGATATGCCTACTTATATATGTCCGAGTGATCTGAGGTCGACGAGTTAACCGATTTACCCTGAACGATGCGTTCTTTGCGCGACAGTTGAGCTATCATTGCATGAACAGAGATGTGTTCACAGTAAATTAAGGCGTCAGCTTATATAGGAAGGCTCACTATCGCTCTCTGAACAAACGTCGCGACATGAAGTGCACTCAAGATGACCGAAGTAGGCCATTCTCGCTCAAGCCTGACAATGTTCACAGATTTCATTCACAGTTGTTTTTCTTTTACCATTAACTTGGTACCAGCGCTTTTTTAGGTCTGTTATTGTCATAAGGAAACCAGCGCAGGCTCGTGCTACCATGTTTGAAAATTTGCATCTGCTTTGCAATATGTCCTGCGCCAATGTTGGCCAGATTTTGCATCCGGGATCGCACACTGTTTTAAAGCATCCAGGGAAGCATATTATTTGGAAGTGCAACAGGTATGTAGGAGAAGTTTCATAGCTGCTCGTTCCACATTGTGCATAGTTTCTTATCTCTGTTTTCACCAAGATGGGTTTCCGCATTCTATTAAGACCAATTCTGTTAGCATTTCATGAATTGTCAGATGCTTCTTCCAAAGTCCAACTGCAGTCACTGAGTCTCGAAGGAAGATTTATGCAATTATACATTTACAACAGCAAGCAGGAGCTTCAACGATGGCGCAGCATCGTGTTCAACATTTTGATGGGCTATTACGTCGACAACTTCGCAACCAAATCTTGTTAACTAATATCCAATTTCTATGAACAGTGGAAAAACATGGGTGAATTTAGTCACAAAAAGGGAAAAAGGCCAAGTATCATTATCGAAAGCCTATTCGTGTTTTCCAAAACATGATGCGTCACCTGTACACATCAGGTAATATTAGACTACGACTTCACGGATGCAGTCGCTCGTGAGGCATTGGTGTTTGAGTGGCCGAAGGCCTGCTAGTTCTTACATCGACAACGTTAACTGAGTATGAAGGGATGGGCAAAAATAACAAGCTTTTCGCAACCACAATTGACACACTCTGATTTTTAGCCGTTTGCGGGAACAAGGTCTAATTTGAGGAATCCTTTGGTGGCTCATGTACACCCCAACATTAAACCACTAAATGTGAAGCATTCAAGACACCAGGCAATACGACGGTGCTGTAATCTGTTGTGGTGACTAACCTGCTGTGATTCCTTCCTCAAACCGTCTTTTAGCGAGAGCTCTCAGCGTGCGCTGACTGCTATCCATGCCCAGTTAGACAACGTCAAGCAGCTGTGATTGCTATAGACGCAGTTCTGTGGTTTGTGCTTATGCGCCTACATGTGTTGATTGTAAAATGCCACGATTTTCGTCGCCCAATCAAATTGTCACCACCGAGGCTGATAGCTGTGACCGATGACAACTGCATACTGAATCAGAATGCAATGGTGAAAATCTCGAAGGTAACAGAACAAGAACTCCAAGTCAGAAAATCCAATTTTAGGGAGCATCGACATCCCCGACAGCGAACAAAATGCTTAACCCTCTGAGGAATCTCGCGAGCCAATGTGATGAGGAGAAAGTGCGCCGTTAATATGAAGTGGCTGGCAGGTCAGGTTGGGTTCAGCTGATGCATTAGAGCTTAATGCAAATATAAATCACGCAAAAAGCAACTTTTGACAGCATTGAGGTGTCTACTTAACCCTATTTTATCAATAACAATTTATTCTCCAAGTGCATTACGAAATATCCCAAGAGGGTTCTTCAAAGCGCATAACTCACGCCTCAACGTCATTTCCGCACTAGATGAGCATTAAAATGACAAAGCCATCGTGTTTATTCCACATCGTGTCATACGAAAAGCGCAATTTGTAAAGGGTTGACACGTGGACTGCACACAAACCAAAGGGACTGAGTTAAACAACTTTGTGCGTATGCGGATTGGCATACAATTTGTCTGTCAATCCGGTTCGTCTTCTCTTTTTGCAAGTTTGACGTGTCATTCCGTCTCACTCACGAATCTGCTGTACACGTTTATTGAATGCAGGTTGATTCGCTAGATTTCCATGTGGTTACTTCTATCTTTAAGATGAACTATATTTGGGGCGACCTCTCGACCTTGATAATAACGTTATTAGTACCTAATTAAATAGCAATCTATTTGCAGGAAATGGATTAATGGGCGTCTTGATCACGTCAAAATGACTGCATGCAGCCGCTCAATGTGACGTTTTAACAGAATGCAACAACTTGTATCTTGTTCTCCAATGTGCGTTTCTATTCATTAGCGTCACCAGAGCAAACGTTTAATGAATTAACACAAAAATAAGAATATGTAACATCTACTGATGAAGAACATACATGAAAACACATGACGTCATGTCAATTGACAGATACTACAAAGTCCAGAGAGTTAATCTGGCAAATTCTTTGCTATAACCTGTCGTATTCACCTATTTCTGCCCTTTCACAGCTTTATCTGCCGTGTTCACTGTAAACAAGTTCGTGCAGACTACAAATTTTGGCTTCCTTCTGAGAAATCCATCGTGACGCCGCACAAAAGGAGAGAATTTGCAACTTTGTACACAGGAGTTGAACATTACGTGGAATCCCTAATCGACTTATAATTCCACTAATTATGCACAGTGTTGTGCTCATAAGTAGATTTCATATCAGAGAAAAACATTTCCGCCCACAGAATATTTGCAAGTAGGTGTTAGGAGCTAACACACATATCATGAGCTGCACTAACACAGAAACAAGTATTCGATGCAAACTGTGGCTTTAATCTGCGCAACGCATTAAGCAAAATGCGATTTGATAGAACGGAATGCAGAATCCCTGTAACCAAAGTAAATGACACAACTAGTGCCGTTTTGCAAAATGCGAGACAACGAATGACTGGAAACTGTCAGGAGCAATGAGAAAGTAGAGGAGATTTGATGGCAACGTCTCTTCGACTCTGTGAACTAATGAGGCACAGGTCCACATCACTACCATCTACCATATCATGACACTTGAGCGATATCCAGCACACTAACACGTCAGTACAGACTACTGCCTCGACGATCAGTACGTTCTTAAAAAGTTTCGACTAGATAAGAGCAGGAATGATGATGGTGGTGTTTAGTTGTCGACTCAACAAAAGGAACACAACTCATCCACAAAATACATCTAATTGCTCAGCCCCAACGAACATGGAGGAAAGTATGATGAAATCTGCATCGTCTAGATTTGTGATTAGAACTTAGAGTCATGGAGAAAGAGAGCTGTGGTGCCTATCCTTGGCAGCTACACTCTTTAGGTGTGATGGAGTTGATGGTGCTGGTGCTTATTGAGCTGAGGCATGAGGTGGCGTGTTCAGTGAAGAGGTTGGTGATGACAGGGTGAGCACTATGTTGGAGATGTGAAAATGTTGTCTCAGACAAATACCTGACACTGTGATTTGTGATATCAGTTCAGTCATCTCTGTTCACGCAATGACCGCTCAACAGTCAGGCCACATCGCTGTCTACACAAACAACTCATCACTTGGAGTAAGTCGGTTAACCCGTCGCCCTCGGATTACTCGGGCATGTATAAGTGCCACCATCTGACAGTCTTCTTTACTTCTGCATTTACTTAACGCTGTTTCTGAACTGCTGCACAAGTTCTTGTCTTCGCTTATTCTAGGAAGACATTGCCTTGCCAAATAACTGGCTCTAACTATCAGATGAGGAATTAGCATCAACACACCAAATAAAAATTTTGCACTTTACTCGGTCCGTCTGTCTTTTGCGCTAGTGGTTATTTCGTAGGTCTCGTTGCGCTAGTCGCTAGGACGTCTCAACTGCCAATCTACGTATTTTCACGCAGGTTGTCTACGACGATGTTCAAAGCGCCTTCTCCTCCGTCTTCAAAGGAATCAGCCAGCAAGTCCCTTTGCGCAAAAGTGAATCAGGCCGTTTGATTTCAAACTCAACAGACAAACGTACCAACTTCAGCTTTGGGGTCGAATATTCCTGGGTTACCTGGTAACATGCGGACTCAAGTGCATATAGCTGCACCGCTCGCTGGTCCATCGACATCGACCACAGCCGACCCTCCTAAGATTCCTACAGAGGCTAATCCTTACATTTCCAGGATTAAAGTAGCACAGTCCGTTCATTCTTAATTTCCGGTAATGTCCACAACGCTTCCAAATGGGCCTGCTAGCGTTGCGAAGGCCATTAAGAATACGTCACCAAGCGTACCTGCGTCTATGACTTACCTGGCAGCATCTGGTTCAGACAAGCTGTTGCAGGAGGCCCTAGAAAACGCCACAAGGGCTTCCCTGATTTCTCAAATGGCTACTATCGTCTCAGAGGCTATGAATTCAATAGCTAATGCGTTAAGTAACAGCGATTCGATTGAATCTGTAGTTTTTTTACTAAAAAGAGAAGTCGAAATGCTGGCAGCGATATCATGCCTCACTTTCTCCCTGAACAAGTCGGTGTACGAAATAATGTCCGCCTTCGAACATGATCGTTTAGCCAAGGTTAAAACTGTTCCACCGTGCATGGCAGATTCAAGCGATTCAACGACTTCTGCAGCTAAATCAGGTCAAGAGTCATCAGGAGGTCAGTCGAAATCTTTACCGCCGAAATCGCTGCCTTGATGTGACAGTGAGAAAGGGAGCACTCCTAGAGGCCAGACTCTGGAGAGAGAACGCAGATTATTCAGTGTACAACAGTTTCGATATCCACACGAGACACTTCGGCGGACGTTTAGTAATTCCGTTCCTACAGAACTGGATAACCGTTTGATGAAATTGTGATGTGTCGAGTGCAAGCATTGCTTTGCCTTTAACTGGGCAGCTTTTGCTTTTTTGTGCTACTCCATAACCTCCTGAAAACAAGTCATTATTCACACCGAAATCTTCCTCTAGCTAATTTTCTAAGTTAATTTTGCCACCTAGTTAGTCTCTGATGTTTAGTCCACTTGCATGATTGGTACTACTCTACCGTGTGACGCAATTCGCCAGTTTCTACTAACTGTGTTGTCTCTTACCGACTTAAATTTTTGTAAATCCAATTTTTCGTTATATTTTTCAGTTTTTCGATCTCTTCTCTGGTGGTATAGCTCTATTACGGAAGCATTTTAAGGCAGTTGTAATCCTTATAATGAACCCAAACTGCCACAGGCAGACTTATTTGTGTTTGGACAGAAAATAAACAGCAAAGTCAATTTAAATAGTGGTGTGTGAATTTACCTGACACCTCCGTTTGAGTTTCGTTGATTGTACAAAAGTGGAAGTGACCTAATGCCGTTTTATGAGGAACAAGTTATTGCATCCACTCAGAACAGTTTCGCTTTGTCACAAGGACTCAAATGCCAGAACTACTGAAACCGTGCCGACTGAAACGCATTTCAATTGCTTGCTTTTTACGCTTCGGGTGTGGTTTCCACCAGCCTAACTGATACTCGTGATCGACATTGTAACTTCACCTCACTCAAGCAGGAAATGAGGGGGTGCGTTCTTGAACTCTATGCATTGCGCCGCCAGAACGACGCGTAACTCACATTCTGAAGCCATCCAGAAGTTACGGTTGCTATAGACGCAGCGCCTAGGTTTAGGCTTATGCGGCTTCATATGATGATCGAAAATGACACGATTTTACGTCAGCAAAATTGAAACCTATGATGGATAAACCAATGCAGGCTCGACCAGGAACCAAGCATAAATATCCCTGACCAACACGAGCTGCCCCCTCGTCTTTCAGGTAACGAAACACAAGCCTCAGAGAGGTTTTTTTTGCACCAGCCAGATGTACGGGTCACACGCTTAGTGAGCCATTTTGTCGGGAGAAATGCAAACCCCGACGGCGAATGAAATAAATGACACCCCCAAAGACGGCGTGAGCCAATGGGATAAGGGCAAGAAAAGTGCGTAGTTGGTACGAAATGTTATGTATGGCAGTCGAGGTTTTGTAGCATACCAGAGCCCTAATAGGAAGAAGACTGGTAAACAAGAGCAGGCTTTATTGACCAATCACAAGCCAGAACAACACGTCAGGCGCCATCCATCCGAGTCCACCACTTTGGCCATGCCTCCCAGTATATACTGCTCATCGCTAATGTCCGTCTCTAGTTGGCTGCTCACCATCCTCGCATGCCATTGGAATGCATAGAAACACAGCATTGTCTGAGGCCAGGTGGTCCAATATGTCTGCGCCTTGATCCGTCGCCACACTGTCTCGCCCTCAGGAGTGAAGCTGTCCTCAGCTTCTGGCTTGGTTCCTTGCACTGTTGTTGACATCCAGTGTTGGTAAAATATCCAGTTCGACACTCCCCGCACCCCACATCGGACAGTATAGTGGCCCATGCGATTAGTTGACGAGGGACCTTGCTCCTGTAGACTTGCAGGAAGGACTCTTCAATCATCGTAGGTCCATTTGCAGTTGCAGTCCAGCTGGCTTCTACTGTCCATGTCGTCGTCGCTGAGTTGCCAATGCCTCTTCTGATTCAGAAGCCCTAATCCCGGACACTGTCTATGGATCCAATGTATGGGACATCGGATGACCGCCATGACAATTTCAACTGGCATTTAAGGGATTTTGCCTCTGTTGACCATTTTAGGGAAAGGGCTGGGTTTCGATTCGCGTTATTCGAACGCATCCGCTGCCATCAATGTAGAATACCCGAGCCCTAATAGGTAGAAGACCGGTACAACAGAACAGGCCTTATTGACCAATCACAAGCCAGAGTCACACGTCAGGCGCCTTCCATCCAAGTCCACCACTTTGGCCACGCCTCCCAGTATATACTGCTCATCGCTAATGTCCATCTCTAGTTGGCCGCTCACCATCCTCGCATGCCACTGGAACGCATAGAGACACAGGATTGGCTGAGGCCAGGTGGTCCAATATGTCTGCGCCCTAATCCGTCGCCACTGTAGAATACCCGAGCCCTAATAGGTAAAATACCGGTACAACAGAACAGGCTTTATTGACCAATCAGAAGCCAGAGCCACGCGTCAAGCGCCTTACATCCGAGTCCACGATGCTGGCCACGCCGCTCATTATATACTGCACATCAGTCGTGTGCTTCTCTGGTTGGCTGCCTTCCTTTCCCGCATGCCATTGGATCGGAGAGAGACACGGGATTGGCTGAGGCCAGATGGTCCAATATGTCCGCGCCCTAATACGACGCCACACCACACCCAGTTCATCAAATGCTTAAAACGTTAATTATGGAAAAGGCAAAATTCCTGATAACGCTGAAATCTCAAGCAGCTTCTGTCTACCTTGACAACTGCAAATTTATGCATTCATTTGATCAGCGACTAGATATATTTGTTTATGCAAATTTGATCGAATCGTCTGTACACCTGAACTAATTTACGAAAAACTGAATCCGTCATATTTTTGGTGAGGTCTGTAAATTCACACCTACTAGGGTAATCTGACAGCAATTATTTGACAAGCAGCTTAAAATTATTACGTTTATTTCCCCCACGTCGCTACTCTTTCACGCAACTCCTATAATCACCAACTATGCTGCTTCATTTGGTTGTGCTCTAGCATCGATGTGTGAATGCTAGTCTTCAGCAACGACGTGAATTCAAGTCCCACATCGTGACCTCCACAATGTACTGGACTATGGCGAAGTTGCAGTAGTTGAAAGGGCCACCAAAATTTCGCAGCTCAACACAATTTATAAAACTACGAGCTCTGTTTTACCACGTACACCGATACTACATCAAATCTTTGCTTAAAAGTATGAATGTCAAGATAGATACAAAGCCTAGGCACCTAATTGGTTCGGGGTGTAATCTCCATACGAGGGCACCAAATCTTGAAAGATGTTTTTCAAGGGAAGGAAACGTTTCACAAAAACGGGTCTTTGTGTCTACTCACGGCTGAATGCAACCAAAGGCCTGTGGCGAATTCCCGCCATGGCTCACATTATCTCCGTAGTTTACTCTAGCCGCAAATATTTGATCAACTAGCTTCTAAACACACAGACCGTATTTGCAAATCAATCCATAACCTCAGCCTTTGGCGCCACGCCGTTAGCAGAGTACATCAGTACTGCGGATCCAGCATTCCCCTAAACGGCTTATCGCGATTTGAGGGTTTGTCATTGTTTACACCATTAATCTAAGCACGTCGCTCAAGTGAGTCAGTCAGCCACTGCCGCCCACTGACAGTTCCACCTGTGTTAATCCGCCTCGATCCATCGGGTCAAGGTCACCACTGACTTATTTAAGTGGGCACATTCTGGCAAATCGGCCAGTCTCTGGCTGAGACAGCCAAGTCTCTGTGCACGAGGTCTGTCCCGATCTAGGAAGATAGGGCCTTGCGTCCGACAAGGAATCTGGGGTACCGGTAATCTGGGCGTGTGATTCTGTGAATCAATGGGTTTTTCCTGCTTCGTAATGATGAACTGAAAATCCACTATCCTAATTTGGCCCATTTACCATGTAAGCAGTACAAAAATTTGCTACCAGTTGACAATGATTTTTACAACCGACTAGAGGATGAGGCCATTCGGTGTGGCGAATTTGTTTCATTAGGAGTGGTGAGGCCGAAATGCTTCTGACGTACTTAGTTAATACGTCACAGTCTCAGTCTATATTTAGATATTAAGGGTGTAATTAAGACTAGATTTGACTAATTCGCTGACCTGTCATGAATGCTTATGCCAGCACCTCACTGTGGACTCGAGATTCCCAGTGTTTACTGCAATGAAATCTGCGAGCTCCAAGAAAAATCTGCCAGCGAGCAATCACAAATGCACTAGTGCCCATGACCAACTGGAAAACACAGCCAGTATTCATGAGCTAACGGATTACCACCTTTAAAATGACACCACCCAGTCAATCCTCTCCACCGGCTCAATTCTTCACGTAACCCCAACTCACCATGTCCTTCAGTTGCGGTTAGGAGAGCAAAATAGCACCTCATCAGCCAACACGTCGCTATTCCAGCCTTTCGACTGAAAGCCTCTTTCCTGGACAGAGAAACAGCCACAGACATCATATGCGCTCCGTCAACAATGACACCCTTTTCATACCGTTACCGCCTGAATCTCAGGGGTAATCGCACGCTCCCATTGTAATAACACCGATGCTTGAAGACAAGTTCCAGTACACTATTGCGTGTATAATTTTGTGGGGAGGATCTAGTCAAGTTGGCGCAGTTACCATGCCCATTCTGATGCACCCACGTTACACTCTCATTAAATCCTTGAAGTGAGCAAACTGGTGACGGTGCATAGGCCCTACGACAAACCACTCGTTGCCGAGCCCAATAGACCCCACGGTATCTTGGATTCTCATTTACCCAGGCCACGCGCAAATGCCAAGGGGCAAGAGTTTGCCACGCCATAACAAAATACTTATTCCACAAAACGCTAACAGTTTTATACCCTCACGCGATAGGGCCATATAAGACGACTTAGTGATGATAAGTAGGTAGGATTATTCTACAGACAGTTACACAATGCTTCATTACAAGAAGGGAGATTTTCTTCTCACGAAGATGTTCTATTAATGTCGGTTTGTTAGTTGTCCAGGTGGACTATATTTTTCAGAATTTGAGCGGCCCGTGATGGTTAAACCACGAAGCAAAAGATAAAAGATATACGGAGCTGGAAATTTGGATTTAGAAAAAT